CCCCCCCCCCTACCCTGCGCTTTGGTTTAAGTTCAGGCCCCCCCTATTAATCTTAGAACCCCCCCCTCCAGATAATTATTGCACAGTCCCTAATTCGAAGCGTGGACCAACAGGCGATTAGGTTGATTGGGCTGGATTGTGCTAGCATAATGTTTGGCATAAATCGTCAACAGTAGCATAAGTTTCACCCATTTTCCAAAAAAGAGCACTGCTGCATAATTGGCACTTGTTACGTAGTTACAGAAGTAAAAAGAAAAAGCGTAATTTTTTGCGTGAGCATAATTTACATAAACTAGCATAATTATTGGCATAATTTTAGAAATATACGAGAACTGCTAGTAGTAGCATATTATGCTACTTTCGCGAGGACAATTTATCAGAGCCAGCATGGGCCGGCGATATTCGGCTTATCCATAGTTTTCGCTGATCACAACTGTTTTGCAATTTCGAGGTCAAGGCTGTAATAGTAGGTGAAGAGAGGCAAGAAAAATTACTTAAGACTCCTTGTCATTACTCAGTTCTCTCTTTTGTTTCTTGTTTGAAAATATAGAAAAAAGAAAAAAAAATCGGGAAAGGGAAGACAAGAGTATGCGTATTGAGTATGCGTATGGCCCGTGGAAAGAAAACGCCCTAACCCTACCCTACACAGTTTATTATTGTCCTTTGTTTGGAATCCCGTCATGCCAGGGGGAAGTGAAGAACGCTTTTGTTGTAAAAGAAAGATGGCGGCCAACTCCGAATTCCCTCGAAGTTACAATCGATGGATAAAACTAATGACCTCAATATTTTTCATACATTAAGGAGTTCGCTGTTATTAAAAGGATAATCGCACTTTACAAGCTTAGCTAGAGGTAAGTTATCGAAGGAAGTAAAGTCGCTTAACTCCTTGCATTTCTCGGTAATCGATTTGAAATTAAAAGCTTAAGCTTCCCTTTCTTTCTAAATGAAAGGCTTTGCGGATCGGTATTTCTTTCCAAAGCTATTCTCTTTTTTGTTTTAAAAGCGTCGTGAATCCTTCAATGGAGCATCTTGCTGTTAATATTAGTTTTTATCTGGTTTTCAGCGATACGAATTCTGATTACAAGTTAAGCTTACGTGAACGAAAATTATAGCTTTATTTTTTATATTCTGGACAATTTGGATATCAATGTTTACAGAATTATTTAAGTCGAGTGATAAGTTTACGGTTGTTTCTAAGCCGATGAAAACTATAGCAATTTTACATCTCAGTTAGGGGTTAAACAATCTGTTTACTATAATTTATTTTGATATCTCCACCAGAATGGGGTATGATGTGGGAAGATTCACTAGTTCAGTTGATGAGGAGCTCATCTGTACGATCTGTGGAGGAGTACTCGAAGATCCTCTACAGGCTCCAGCTTGTGAACATGCATTCTGTGCTGCTTGTATTCACGAGTGGCTAAATCACCAACAAACCTGTCCTGTTGATCGACGTAACCTTACTCCACATCAACTCAAGCAAGTACCAAGGATTCTAAAGAACTTGCTGTCAAAGCTGACCATCCAGTGTGAGAATGCCATGTTTGGTTGCGAAGGTGTGGTGCGGCTTGACCAGCTTCAGTCACATTTGTCCCAGTGTGAACACAATCCAAAAAGACCAGTCAATTGTGAACAAGGCTGTGGATTGGTGGTTCCATTTGATGAGATGCCCCAGCATAATTGCGTTCGTGAATTAAATAACTTAATTCAAAATCAAAATTTCAAATTAGCCCAATTGCAAGCCCAGATTGATGACCAACGTCAGCAGCTCAATGAACAAAAACGTGAAATCCAATCTCTTAAGGATATGATCCGAGCTATGAGGGTAATCAACTTACCACACGCACTGCCTCTGTTGCCTAGTAACCTCCAACAACCTGATCACTATGACAACGAAGTTCATCAGTGGTTGGTTGGGTTACAGTCAGCAAGGGTGACCCGGTGGGGCGGAATGATATCAACTCCAGATGCAGTTCTGCAAGCAGTTATTCGCCGAGCCCTAGCTGATAGTGGGTGCCCACCAACAATTTTAAATGAACTGATGGAGAATGCTCATGAGCGTAAATGGCCACCAGGTCTGAGTACTCTTGAAACACGGCAGTTAAATCGCAGACGTTATGAACAGTATGTTTGTAAAAGAATTCCTGGAAAACAGGCTGTAGTGATTATGGCCTGCGAAAATGAACACATGGGAGAATCAATGACCTTGGAACCAGGCTTGGTTATGATCTTTGCTCACGGGATTGAATGATATATGTCATCCCTTATACTCAAGAAATTTTGAAGCTAAATATTTTGAAAAATAATAGTTAAGTCTGAATTCCCTTTTTTCTGACAAGCAGAAAGAAAATTTTTACTATTTAAGTAGTTTACATCTAACACAAATAATTTGTCAAGTGTGGCTTATTTCAGTAGTAAATTTCCAATGGACAGTTTCGTTTGAGTGCTAGATATCCCAGCTTTAGATCCTAGAAGTGTACATGAGTCTAATTTCTCCAATTCCAGTGGGGTCTGGGAGGGTGGCAAGCCATTTCTGTGTGTAAGTTTTTTTCACTGGACTGCTGTAATCAATCTAAATAACAAACAAGTACATCCTTTGGTTAACTATTATAGGGTATCAGAATTCATTTTGTATATATGTTAGCAACAAAATGACAACATTGAAACTCTGAAAATTAACTAAAATAGTGCTAAGGAAAATTTAAAACGTTTCTGCACAATGATGCCAAAATCCTTCTTTGAGGTACTAGAAGATCAAAATACTTTACTCTTTTGGAGAACATTAGTGAGGCGCTTTTAGGATAAAATACTGACAAGTGACACGGCCTTGAAACAGTGACATAAGACTTGATGAAATGCTGACAAACATAATGGGATTTTTCTTTTCTTGATTATAAATTTGTTGTAGAATGTAATCACTGTTTAGACTTTATCATTGCAGTGCTTATCTCTTGTATAGACAAGATTTGTATATCTAGGTTATTGATTTAATGTACAGTCCTTTAATAGAAAGAATTTCCTATGATCTTGAAATGATTTTGAGTATTTCAAAAAACAGCATATTAATAAACTTAAACAAAGCAAAGTGATTAGTTTAGCAAGAAGAGACAAAATGTGATCTGCTTTGAGCTCTGCTAACTTTTCTGTTTTCTTAGTTTGTTTCTCTTAGCTTTTCTCTACCTGAATTCATATGCAGTCTTTCTTCTGCATTTCTCCATTGTTCAAGTTTTGGTTGGTATATTCAGTGGCCGGGGGTTGGGAGGGGTGGGGATTTCAACGGAGGTTTAAGTAGAGGTGTGTCGCTGAAGCCTTCAAAACCTGTGACCCTGTTTGAGACAAAATTGCTCATTTTTCTACCCTGTCCAAGACAAGAGACCATATTTTTCGACCCTGATTCGTTTCTTTTTACATTCAGAATTAGGTATTTTTTTGCACTAATATCATGGAACTGAATTGTTTGGGAAAAACCGTTGGTGCCACAAATGTAGACCACTCATCTGCAGCCTTTGCACTCCTTTTAAGGCTTCCGGTCCAAAAACACACCAGGTTAAAGACGGGGAATAATGAAAATTTATTCTCTGTTTAAGACTAAAGACCCTGAAAATGATACCCTGTTCTGCCGCACATATCCATCTAGGCCAAAATAAGGAAGTGGCTCCTGGGATTCAAGGAGAGGCTGGCAAAGGAAATATGGTGCAGTCCAGTCTCAGTTCTGTGGATAAGTTACCTATGGTTTGATCACTAATGTGAAAGCCGTTGAGCATTAATTTTTAGTATACGTATTTAAGACAATAAAATTCGACCCTTCTTCCACTAACCACTTGAGCTGCGACAGCGAAATTAGCCGTGGGAGATCTGGGTACTGTTATTCTTTTTAAGCGTTGGTCAGCGGTACTTTTGTTAGAGTCAAAATGGCGGACAATTCGACTGACAAGGGTCCATGGACGAAGATGTTGGAATCTTTCATCAGATACGTTGCGTTAAACCCAAAGGAGTTTCTTCTCTATGGTAACTAGCTATGTATTAATTTTAGTCAGGTTTCTAATGTTTTAGTTCAAACTGTTTCTCGGAATTGACAATGTAATTATTATTACGTTGCATTGACACATACCGTATTTCCTTGAATAATAGCCGTCCCTCGATTAATCGCCTCCCTTTGACGGAAATGTTGAAAATAATCGCCTCCCTCGAATGATCGTCCCCCCCCCAACTATAAATTACCCGCTAGGGATACCCATAGCGGTAAACTTGGAGGATGAAGCTGCTGCATCAGTCAATTCCAGCTGTGCCCTGCCACCGCCACCTCCCCCCTCCTCCCGGGCTACTGCGGGGCATTTGCCCGCCTTTTCAGGCCCGGGGGTGGGGCATTTGCAAATTTTGCGCAGCCCGGGGACCAGACATTTCTCAACCTTGGGGCTATTTCTGAGCTTTTGACACGCACGTGGTTTCCTATAAGAATATAACTACACAGAGGATATTACCGGAAAAAAGCAGATTGGCTCATCTGTCAAAGACAGGGGGTTAACGCATCTTCTCGATTTTATGCATGCATTTCTTCATTGCTTATGAAGCCAGGAATATGTAGTGAAACTCGGGAGCTATCGACCCTAATCAATGTTTTTTGGTTAGTGAATCAAATTTCTGTTGATATTATTTGAAGAACATCCTTTTCATATAACATTTAACATATAACTTTGCAGTGCTCTATTAATTTTAATGTCAATCATTTTATATCAATACTAAAGCCATAAACTGGTACATGTCATCGCAGCGTGAGGTCTTAATTAGAATCCTAGCACTATTACAAAGGAAGACGTTACTTGAAACAAAAAATCGCATGTTAAAATGTCTAAAACGGCACTATTCGACTCATCCTTGGAGACCCAGGGGCAGATAGTGGGGAGGAGGTAGAGTCTGATCGGGCAGAAAAATGTGGCACGAAGAAAAGTAAAGAACGGCGAGAAGAGCCCCTGGGGACAATGTCTTACCAGACCAGTTCCAAATGGCCGCCGCCGCTCTGGCTTCTGATTGGTGCCAGAAAACTTGTGTTTTTCTGGCACCAATCAGAAGCCAGAACAGAGGCAACCGTTTGGAACTGGTCTGGTAAGACATTGTCCCCAGGGGCTCTTCTCGCCATTCTTTACTTTTCTTCGTTCCATATATATTTTTCCGCCCGTTTAGACTTTCTCTCGCCCCCTTTATCTGCCCCTGGGTCTCCGAGGATGTATTCGACTGTGCAATCGGTGAAAAATGTTGCAGTGTTGATGGAGGATGGGGTATTTGCCCTCTTTTTTTGTCCCCACCCTGGGGGATTTGACAGGTCAAGAGTGCCCACCCCAGGGAATTTGTCATCCAAGGCAAAAAAAGTGCTAACCGCCCGGGCGCAGCTAGAATTTACTAATGCATTAAACTGGAGTCTGATCCGGCAAAACTGATCAATGACGATTCAAGCTCACTGACGCCGAGGACATTGCAAATTAATCAAGGAACCTAATTTGGAACAATTTAAATGCCAATATTCATTTTATTTGATGTGATTAATTTTATTTTATTTTATCGCAGAATAGAACAAAATATTTAGGTCGCACGACTTCTAGTGAGCGTATTTGAAATAATCACCTTCCTCAAATAATCACCTTCCCTCAAATAATTGCCCCCTTTTGGTGCGAAAAAAGAAATAATTGCCCCAAGCTATTATCTGAGGAAATACGGTATATGAATTGGGCACCCATCCCCATAACCTCAGTTTCAAGACTATTGTAACAGTAATCAGTCATGCAATTTTGAAAAGTCAAGAGATCCATTGCTAGTTTTACTAAGGTGCTCATTATCTATGAACAGAACTATTAACTGTTGTTTTAGGCAACAGATGTCAAATGAAGGCGATGAAAATTGAGATTCAGATTACTACTTAAAAAACTGACAAAAAGGTAATTTTTCAAGATCAGCTTGATGAGCAACTAATCTTGATCCACACGAATTTATGAGGAGTTTACACAATTTTTGCTACAGGACTTCTGTACATTGAATTCGCCCCCAAAACCTTCACTTACCCACTTAGCAAGTTAAGAACAGAATTTACTTTCCAGTCATAAAATCCAAAGCAAGCTCTCCACTTATGGTGAGCAAAGCAAGCAGTAAAGACGCGAGGGGCAAAGGAAAGGAGAGCTTGCAACGATCTCTCATAAATTTCCATTTCTGCTTTACCCAGATGAAGCGAAATACCATCCGCCATTGGCTTAAAAATGAGGTGTCATCAATAAATTTTGATCGATGACATTCCTGACTGACCCGCCATAAATACTTGCCTTACAATGCTTATTGACGTCTGGAATATTATGATTACTCTTTTCTCTCTGTGATCGGACAGCGATTTATGAGGACAGTGTGGCTGTATTTTTTACTGTTCAGTTTGGATCTCAACTCTGCGGAATATATAAGCGGGCAAATCAGAAGGCTGAAAAGGGGTTGCCAGGAAAACATTACGATACAAAATCTCTCCGTGTTGTTGTGTTTAAAAGTTTCCCCACAACAAAAGCAGTTGATTTCATATCCAAGTGGAAGCGTGGGAGATAGAAGTCCCCAAGAAAAACGACAAGCATTGCAGTGATGAATAAACACTATTTTTGCCATAGTGGAAAGTAACAAATACTATTTTTGATGAATCCAAAGTTTAAACAGATGCAACAGCTTTGCAATTGAAGCAACATGTTTCCGCTGAATTCAAGGAATATTGTAGATCCTACTCTGTTTCTAAGCTATGATCCAGACCAGAAGGTCCGGACCAATTTATTGTCTTCTTTTAGTAGTCTTTTCTCTGTGCAAAGTTGTAATATTCTGCTCCTGGAACCCTAGTGTAACTGGCACTTTTGACTTGGCCCGATGTGGGTATAAACTGACAAACAGCTGAGAAAACTCAGAAGATTTTCCCACTCGACCCCCACTCGATTACTGTAAAAGCCCAGAATAATCTAGCTACATGTACAGATGGTCACAAATCATGCTAAAATTCACCACATGCTTCATCTACAGTTGTGTTAATAAGATTGATGTTTACTTTTTACAGTTGTTACGTTCAGTTTCAATTCATGGTGCTCTTTTTTGCTTTGTACTACTTTTATTAAATTTATTGAAATGACCCACCTAAGGTAAGGATGTCTTATCTGAAAATATTCCCCCTAAAACCCCAAGCATGGTTTTGAAAATGACCCCCCAGAAAAAAATTGCCAGCCCTCCCTCACAGGTGATAAACAACCATCCTCTAAGTTAAACTGTTTGGCATTTTTTTGCAGTGTTTATAATTCTGACCCCGTTGATGATGGTGAGTGGATATTTGTCACTGAAGTTACTCAAACACATTGAGAAAAGTGAGAAGGACAAGAAGAAAAAATGTGAGTGATATTACAATGTACCTTGTTTGGTACAATAGAGTGGTTTTCGTTTGAGTGTCGTAAAACCAAAACCAAAGTAATTACTCTGGCCAATCACATAGGACACAGACAATACATTGAACCAATCAAAACTCGAAGTAATTACATGTGGCTGATGCAAAGCGCGGGAAAATGCATGCGAGCGCGTCACAATTGGCTTTGGTTTTACTTCTGATTGGATGAAAAGGTGGCGCGAATCTTTTAAGCCAATCGCATCGTGTAGAAAGTGCAAAACCAATTACTTTTCGACACTCAAATGAAAACCGCTCTAATGGGTCACAAAATGTACAACATATGTGCAAAATCATCTAACATTAATTTATCTAATGAATTATATTACATTATCCTTGCCTGGGCTGTATAACAATGTTCTGGAACTTAAAATTATTTATGATAATTACCTATGTAATTTTTCTCATTTTGCTTTTAAGCCCATCAGCTTTTCAATTTTTAACTTAATTTTTAATCTCCTTTGATTACTCTCAAAAACCAAACTACATTTTTACATGAGGTGCTGTTACAAGAAAAGTACACCATGGTAAAAGGCATTTCCCATGTTACTGAAGCTGTGTGGTAAATTTTTACTTTGCTTAGTTTACCATGCATACGTGAATTAATTCCCAAGGTAGTTTAACCACTGTTATGGCTTCATTTGTGCTATTGTGGTATTTTATGTTGAAAATTTACGTATAATTTAGAGGGAAATATTTCAACTGGTTTGTTAGTCCTGATAATTTAGCAAAGGTTCACAGCATCTTTTTCAATCTCGTCCCTACCTTTTTACAGTTCAGCTGCATCCCCTGTTCGATTACATGCTAGGAGTAGGATTATACTTTTGGGGAATATAACAATGCCCCTAAATTTAACGCAATCTTAGCTCATCTTAACGTGAAATCTGCCATAAATGCCCTTGTTCCTTGGGTCAAAAGCCAAAGAAACCTGTTAACCCTTTAAGCCCCAGTATCCACATACAAATTCTCCAGACTGATCTCCTTACATTTCCTATAAGAATGAGTTGAGAGAATTTGATAAAAGATCAAGGCATTTTCCCTTAGGTGATCATTTTATTAATTCTCATAACCTAATCTCTTGACATTGTATGGATATCGTTAAGAGAAAATTGACGTTAGACACTATTGGGACTTAAAGGGTTAAAAAAGAAGTTGTTTTCAATTGTTGGTTTCATGTTGGTGTCAAATGAAGAAACCTGATTGGCTCTCTTGCTATCAGTTGCAAAAAGCCTTTGCCATTTTCCACATTGAATGTCATGAGAAGTTTCTTTCTTCTTTTTGATATACATAACCATGCATATTTCCCATGGTAAAAGGCTCATATACAATGTTAAAAGTCTCCCGTGTAACTGCATCTATTAATTGATAAAGATCTGTTTTCATTTTTTCTACTCAGCTGCTCGCCAAAGCAACATTGCTAAATCAAGACGTAGGGCAAAAGCTGACTGATACACAAAGTGGAGAGTGATTAGGTTGCAAACGTGTGAAGAACTTCTTTCAGCTGAAAGTGTACCATCTCACATTACATTCAGTCATAGTTACTCGTAGTCATTTTTTTATTGTACATGCTTTAAACTGCAGCTACATAACAATTTGCTGACAAATAATTGTAACACCATGCATTTGTTTAGTATTTACAAGTACAGGTATAAATTATAAAGGTACCAAAAAAATTTATTTTACCTGTATTTTGCTTTTTGTGGTCTTAGAGTAATACTCACCATTTTAATTACACCTGCGTGGAAAATAATGTACATTTATGTTTTACACCTGTAGAAAATATCAGATTAATAGAATGTATAATAATGATTTATTGTTTTTTCTGGGGATGTGAACATACCAACTTTAGCGGATAAAAGTGATGCAAACCACTAGAAAACTTAAACTGCCATCAAACTATTTCGACTAAGTAGTTAGTCCAGGTGAAAATTAAACAAACAACTCTGCCAAAAGAAATCTTTGCTCACAGAGCAATTAGCCGAATAGTTTGTAACATCATGCGGGTACTCAAAAGATGATAAGTGCGGAAAAGCGGTTTAGTTATACTTTTGTTTTAACCTCTAGAAAACCTTAACTGCCATCAAACTATTTTTCTAGATTGTTAGTCCAGGTAAAAGTTAAACAAAAAGATGGCCACAATTGTCAAACTGAATGGGAAATTACCTGTAATCCTGATTAAGACCAATCATATGTCCAAAAAAATTTTCATTATTATAGTGCATGATTTTATTTCAAAATGACAGGGAGGCAAAACTTGTAAGACCTCAAGGTTTGAATGTCCAGGATAAACAAAAAAAACTCTGAACACAATAACTTTGACTTAACATCCACTTTATTTGACATTGTTTATAGGGCATTAATTTCAACAATTTTTTAAAGCATATTTTCAAGCATTCACTTAAAAGATACATGAATGATAAGGTCAACCTATGGAGTTACATGTACAGCAGGAAAAGGAGCAAGAGCTTTCCAGTTGGCACTTGTTCACTGATTTACAAATTACTGCACTTTCAAGTCCAAACTAAGGTTCATGATAAATGAATGTACTTAAATAAAATCACAAAGTGTTTCATGCAAATATTTGAATTCTGTGATTGTCTTTATCAGAGACAACAATTTGATCATTACTTAGCAGCGCTAATGAGAATGGCTCATTGAATTGTCCTTAGTTGGAGCCTTTTAAACCGAATTTTTGCACAAATGTTCCATCTACCTTAAAGACTTGTATTCTATTATTTCTGCGATCACAGACCAACAGGTGCTTTGACTGAGTTACTGACAAAAATTGTGGACAATTAAACTCCCCGTCCCCCTCCCCCTTCTTACCAAACTTGTAAAGAAAATGCCCCTCCCTGTTAAATACTTTGATACAGTGTTCATTTGAGTCTGACACTATGAAATATTCACCACACTGAACACAGTGAGTAGGAAAACTAAAGGAACCCTGCCCACCTATCTTCATTACAAACCTACCATCCGGGGTAAAGATCTTAATCAGTTTGTGACCTGCATCAGCCACAATAAGATTACCAGTACTATCTAAGGATAAACCCCAAGGATGATGGAGCTGACTATCAAGGCTTCCTTGGCCGCCAAATGAATCCAGATGCCTCCCCTCCCAACTAAGAATTTGAATTCTGTGGTTGTTAGTGTCTGCTACAAAAATTTTTCTGTCCCTATCAATGGCTATTCCAAAAGGGTATTTGAACTCTCCATCGTTTTCGCCTTTGCGACCAAAGGATCTTAGGAAAGTACCATTACTGTCAAACACTTGAACCCGATTGTTGCTTTGATCAGCTACCACTATTTCGTCCTCGTCATTTACTGCCACCCCAACTGGATACGTAAACATTCCATCACCCTAGCCTTGCTACCCGAAAAACAAAACAGGATTGAAATGAAACGGTTTTACTATCACATTAGAGTGGTTTTCGTTTGAGTGTCGTAAAACCAAAACCAAAGTAATTACTCTGGCCAATCACATAGGACACAGACAATGCATTGAACCAATCAAAACTCGAAGTAATTACATGTGGCTGACGCAAAGCGCGGGAAAATGCATGCGAGCGCGTCACAATTGGCTTTGGTTTTACTTCTGATTGGATGAAAAGGTGGCGCGAATCTTTTAAGCCAATCGCATCGTGTAGAAAGTGCAAAACCAATTACTTTTCGACACTCAAATGAAAACCGCTCTAATAACTGGTGTTGTACATGCCATCCTTGTTATCATTTATTTGCACTTCCGTTACGTTGTTTTGTCCTTTCTCGTCCTTGATCTTTACAGTGACACGGTCCCTCTCATCATACCACTGCTTTCTCTCAGCGTTTCTTGTGATCAAATTGAATTGAACTTTACGCCCAACAGTTCCTTCCTTCAGTCCTTCACCTTCAGCCAGAGTTTCTCTTGCTTTTGTCCGATAACCTTCTTTCAATAATCCAATTTCTTCCCCCTCGACGATATCAAGAATCTTCTGATTTTTCACGAAAACAAAAGCTTGAAAACTCCCGCAGTCATGAACAATAGGATCAACCTTCTGAAACATTGCTTGTAGTGATTTTTTAAGTTGAACAACGTCGACGGTGGTACTTCGTTTTAAACGTTTTTCAGCTTCCTCCAGTGATGATTTCATGACATTTATCTGATGCTGAATCTCACTTCTTTTTGCTTTTAAACTTTCAAGTGACTTCTTGGTTTGGTTTTCCGCCGTAGTAATAATGTCTTTCAGTTTTGCTTGAATTAAATTGATCAAGCCATCAGCAAACCTTTTGGCGTCTCTCTTCACGATTTCGTTTTCTTGAATCATGTCAACGGAATCTTTATCCAGTTGAGTTAATACGTTCATTTTTAATTCTAAATTATTCTTTTGCCTTTCGATAACAGATTTTATCTCCAGTTTTTGACTTTCAGCTTCTTCTTTGATTAATTTCAGTGCATGACCTCCATGATCCAAAGTGACGCAAGTTTGGCAAAGTGCCGTTTCACATTCCTTGCAGTAGTATTTTAACTCTTCTTCCCGATGATCTTGTCTTGAACAAAATACTGGTCGCTTCAATACATCCTCGAGGTCTTTGTCTTGAAACTCTTTGATAGCCAATACGCGGTGCCCTCTGTTTCTTCGCAAAATACTGTGGGCGGCCGCACATTGATCACAGTAAAAGATACAACACTGGAAACAGTACGAAACTTCTGAATTCTTCTTGTCGCAGTTTCCACACTTCACTTGAGTCTTGTTGCATTCTTTTATAGCAAGAACATCGATTAAACCATTCAAATAAAAACTGGTTGGAAGATCTTTTAGCTCACTGCTTGTAGGAACTCGACTGAGCGTTTGGCACTTCGGGCATTTAATGGTGTCTCCGCCTCCGCACGTTTCGTACCATCCTTTCAAACACTTTAAGCAAAAACTGTGCAGACAGGAGAGTTGTTTAGGATCCGTGAATAAGTCCGAACACACCGAACAAGACACTTCCTCGTGAAGGTTGTAAAAAAACGTTGCGAGATCCATGTCGTCTTCAAAACCAAACAAGAAATGACCTTTGAGGCACTCTGCACCAAACAAGGAAGTCAAGGATGGTTTGCTTATCTCAGAATAAGCAGTGTTCGAACCAATCAAAGAACATTTCTTAGTGAGTCTTTGATTTTTTTGTCGTGGGTTGTGATTAATAGCAAAAGGCAGTCAAGCGAAGATTAAAAACAAATTCATTTTTTTCTACTTTGAAAGGACACTTTAATGTGAAGTTGCACATATTTAACCAGTGTATTTTTGCGTAGACAGGAAATTTGATTGGGATCGTTAGTCCAAACACACCAAACAGGACATTACATCTCAAAGAATGAAAACAAGTTATAAGATTCCTATTGTTTTCAGAAACAATGAATGGCCCTGGCTTGGGGCACTCCACTCTTGTGCTCTTGTCCACTCTTGTTTATCTTTTTTTAGAATCAAAGGCTCGCGAACCAATTGGAGGGCTTCCATGCATGTGTTTATAAGACCTCCATGCAAACACAAAATGATGAATTATATGTTAAGATATATTTAAACAGTGACAAAGCCACAGTAGCGTAAAAACCACAGCCATGTTGGTTGGAGTTAGCGCGAGGTTCGAGTTAGCGAGGGTTCGAGTTATCGGGAGTCAACTGTAGTTATACAGGGGCTCGTTATACCGTTTCATTTTATTGGAATTTCGCTACACAGGGGCTCGTTATACCAGATTTCGCTATATATTGTGGTTCGTTGCACTGGAATTTCGCTATATTCTCTATTTTCCAATTTCCCATAATACACTCTGTTTGCCCCCCAAATTTTGCATAAACCATTGTTTTTAAATGCTCCTGGGAGTATTGCATTTTCCCAAGAGCATTTTAAGACAATAAGTTATGCAAAANTCGAGTTAGCGAGGGTTCGAGTTATCGGGAGTCAACTGTAGTTATACAGGGGCTCGTTATACCGTTTCATTTTATTGGAATTTCGCTACACAGGGGCTCGTTATACCAGATTTCGCTATATATTGTGGTTCGTTGCACTGGAATTTCGCTATATTCTCTATTTTCCAATTTCCCATAATACACTCTGTTTGCCCCCCAAATTTTGCATAAACCATTGTTTTTAAATGCTCCTGGGAGTATTGCATTTTCCCAAGAGCATTTTAAGACAATAAGTTATGCAAAATTTGGGGGGCAGACAGAGTGTATTATGGGGAATTGGAAATAGTCAATAGAGCTTCGTTTAATAGAAACCTCGTCTTATAGGGGTTCGTTGTACCCAGAATCGAATTGTTGCGCAATATTACCACTGTGTTGGATAAATTTTTTTCTAGAAGGTCACATATAGTGAGTTTGGAAGCCTGTATTTCCTTCTGAATGTATTGACACTTACGTAAAGTACTTCCACCTACTCCTCCCTTAAGCCAACATTTTGCCCTAAGTGAGATGTAAGTGTTAATGTTGGCTTAGGGGAGGGGTAGGTGGGCAGTTTCCCAGAAACGTCCAACCCTTTCACTCCTAATAGTGTCCAAGGAAAATATTTAAAAAAAAATCGAATTTCGTTTTTGTAAAATCCTAACATAACATTGTTTTTAATAGTAACACAAAGTGGTTCAAAAGACTATAAGCCCAAACAAAAGATTTATTTAGGCTTTTGCTTCATCCATTACAAAACCTTAACTGCCATCAAAATTTTATATAGGTTTGAAGTCTTAGTAGACAGCAAACAAAAAGATAATAACACTTTCTTTAAAAAAAATATCAAACTGAATGCAACATTGCCTGTAATCATCTGTTAGACAAATTAACAGTTATTGCACATGCACATTATTTACCCCAGTTAAAACCAAAAGGTTTGAATGTCTAGGATAAAACTAGAAAAACATTGAATACAACAGCATAGTACACTTATTTACAAACTGAATGACCGAACTCTCTGGTATAACAAAAATGTTTATCGCTGATTAAAATATTCTTCAATTCAATCACAAAATGGCTGAGATGCTCACATACTCGTCACGGAAAAGGACAACAGTTTTTCATGCAAATATTTGGATTCGGTGATTCTCTAATTCACTCACAACAATTTGACCATTACTTAAAACAGCGGACGAGAATGGCTCAGTAAGTTCTCCTGATTTGCTGCCTTTTAAACCGAATTTTTGTACGAACGTTCCATCTACTTTAAAAACTTGTATTCTATTATTTCTGCGATCACAGACCAACAGCTGCTTTGACTGAGTTACTGACAAAAACCATGGACAATTAAACTCCCCGTCCCCCTCTCCCTTCTTACCAAACTTGTACTGAAAATGCCCCTCCTTGTTAAATACTTTGATACAATGTTTACTTGAGTCTGACACTATGAAATATTCACCACACTGAACACAGTGAACAGGGTTACTCAAAGAACCCTGTCCACCTATCTTCATTACAAACCTACCATCCGGGGTAAAGATCTTAATCAGTTTGTTACCTGTATCAGCAACAATAACATTACAAGTACTATCTAACGATAAACCCCGAGGCTCAAGGAGATGACTGTCAAGGCTTCCTTTGCCGCCAAATGAATCCAGATGCCTCCCCTCCCAACTAAGAATTTGAATTCTGTGGTTGTTAGTGTCTGCTACAAAAAGGTCCAAAAGGTCATCAGCGTGTTCATGGGAGGCCTAGAGAATCAAAAAGGCTTATGACAGGATTTGTCTTGAAGACTTTCGCGCGTAGTTGGGGTTTGAGGGAGGAGGGGGTCCATTCGCTTTCTGATATTTTATGGTTCAAAATTCAATGTCCGATGATTTGGGTGTCATCTCGGGTGTAATGAGTTAGCTTTCTAAAATGTCGAAGAATTGTATCAATGCATTTAAAAAACAAAGCAGTGACAACACAGGGGCACCCAACGAGAATATAGTTCAAAACCACTTAATATAGCATTTTTGAACGTATTTTAGTCTTCAAACGGTAGATATAAACATATTTTTATCCCCTAATAATTTTTCATCTGTTCGGATTTCCTAAGTGAAAATGTAGGGATCCGAAAATTATAGGGATCAAAACTTAACTTTTCGAAAATTTCAGTCAGAAAAAAGGCTCCCGAAAATTCTAGATGACCTTTTTAGGGTAAAAATCCGCTTAAAATGGGCAATTGTACCAGTTTTTACATGTTCGAAAATCGTAGGAGAGGCAGGCAAGCAAGAAATTTTACAACAAATGTTCCGAAAATTCTAGATCTCAAATCGTCTTCCGAACAGATATTTTCCGAAAATTGACGTTGGGTGCCCCTGATAACACGTAGTACAGGGAGGAAATTTCTCATTGACGAATTCAAGGACAGAGGTACCTCGCGCTCTATTTATTACTTTTTACCGCATCAATAGGGGGAAAAAAGCCTTCGATCTAGAACATTACTCGAGTACAGGTTAACATTTCGAGTTTCAAGCGAGGTTCATTTGTCTCTATGCCGGGTTTTATTTGTTTTATTTATATCCCTGTCATACGCTGTTACGATATTCTATCCTCTATTGTTCAAAAATGACTAATCTTTACGGCTTAAACAGTTGTTTTTCTGATAACTGTGATAAAAAAAAAAATAACAATAAAAGAAAAAGAAGGAAAAAGACAAGAAAAAATATCGCATCTTCGACGAGACTCGAACCTAGGATCTTTATTCCAAAATTAAGGTTTTACCACTAGGCCACGAGGGCTCTCTCGCCTTCGCTCTGCAAAAAGCTTTCCTTTAATTAAATAAAAGTGACGTCATCTTCACCGTAAACACTTCCAAAGAGGTTTAAAACATGCAAAATGTTTTCCGCAAAGAAACCTGAAGGAAAGGTAAGTGATAGACTTGACTATCACAACTAAATACTGCGGAGGAAATTCCACAACATTCCCAAATCGCCGTAACAAATAACGGGAGCGCGCATTGCCATCAGCGGTTAGCATCAGTCGTTATAGTCCATGAGGCCTTCGTTTTAGGTCCATGGGGTCTTCGTTTTAGTCCAACGGGTCTTCGTTTTAGTCCAAGGGGTCTTCGTTTTAGTCCATGGGGTCTTCGTTTTAGTCCATAGGGTCTTCGTTTTAGTCCAAGGGGTCTTCGTTTTAGTCCATGGGGTCTTCGTTTTAGTCCAAGGGGTCTTAGGTCTTAGGTCTTCGTTCTTGGGCCTTCGTTTTAGTAACACCCCTTAATAACCAAATTTCAACTAACAAAACAAATATATTTTTCGGATAACAAGTTCTTATAGCCAGTGTGTTTTGGCGTAAATAGAAGATGTGATTAGCAAGGTCCAATCACACCAACTTAGTCAGTACATCTCAATCGAAACATGCAAAATCGGTTATCAAGATCCATATTGCCTTCAGAAACAATGAATTACCTATAGCAGCGCTATAGAGCAGTGAAGCGTTACGCCTAAATCAAAGGCTTAGGAAGCCATTAAAACATTGTTGAAAGACTTGCAGACCTTGCATGCGTTCGTTTGCACCTTTCAAGCACAAATTGAAATACTCAAACTCTAAACTGATCACTGATGGATAATGAGTGATTTTGTTTGCGTAAGCACAGTAGCGTGAAAACCACAGCCGTGAATAATGCCCAGGGGCCCCACTCACATATTTTAATGACGGGGGGGTCCGAAGGATTTTTTTGGGTCTGACATTTTGGACAAAAGGGATTTTTTTGGGTCTATGAAAGACGCCAGCATTTTTTTGGGTCGCGAAAACAACACAGGGATTTTTTTGGGTATTGTATTTTTCATCAGCTCAAATTAACAATAACATAAGCGCAATTTACTGCTTGTGTGATATTACGGGATATTTCTGAGATTGTAAAGTAATTACCGGCACTCCACGCGCATCTAATCCAGAGAGAAATATTCAATAGGTCACGTAGTTCAAGGTCTTTCAAGCCAGTCATCAAGACCACAATGGAAACACTGTATACAAAGTAAACATTTTATGAATTGGATGTTTACCCGCTGATATATATCTATTATCAAATGATCACCTTGCTACTTAAAAATAAAGGCA